TTATTTTGAGCAAATAACAGTTCGGACGTAATTATATTGGGTTTAGCTAAATTTTCGCGCAGTATTCTTTTTGATCACATTTTCAATTGAACCGATGATTTCAGAAACCCTTCAATTGCCAAAACTTCGGTTTGGAGAAAACAAAAAAAAACTGGCCTATGCGGAAAGCATTTTTTTTGTTGATTGAAGATATTTTTTATTGAGAATAATTACAATATCGAGTACTTTTTTAAAAGCAAATAATTTTATATAATTTTAATTGTTAATTTAAATTTAATTTTACATTTTTCACTTGGAGTTTTTGGAGTTGAATTGAATAGAAATGTTTATTTATTTCCAATTTAAAATTTGAATGAAGAACATACAAAAATTCCTTTTTTGAAGTCGGTTAATTCGGTTTATGAGTAGCGTTAATTTCTTCCTGACTTAATGATCGGAGCTAAACCAAATTAATATGGGACCACCCTTGAGATACCTCTTTTCTGTTAAAAAAATACCAATCGAAAACGGCATAACGAAAAGTTATCCGGTGTATGTACAAAAAAAAAATATTTCGATGAATTCAAAGCCTCCTCTCTATAAAACACACATCCATTTATTCCATTTAACAGTCTTACGGCAATTGTTCCTGGCGCTTACTTTCAAAGAAGAATATTTCGTTTTTAACTCATTTTTGTGTACGTACATATGTACATATATATATTTCAGAAATAACGCGGTGAATGTTAGTCCAATATCATTTGTTTATCAGCGTAGATTAGAACTATTTTCTAAGGTAATAAAATAGTGAAAAAAAGCATTTTAAATAGACTTTTATTTTCTGTAGTTTATAGCTGTAATATTTTTGCTTAGGAATGGATAAATCTGTAAACACAGGCAGCGAAAGTGCTAAATGTTATGCGATTTCAATGAAATTCGGTATATAGTTTACAGATTGATGACATGTACCAAGGCGAATTTATACAAGGTGGTGTTGATGGCGAATTTAGATTTTCGCCGAGCTACGTCTGAATGTCAAAATGATGTGTTTGTTGTAAAATGAATTCGCCTTGTTTACAACAAACACATCATTTTGACATTCAGTAGTACCGCGGCGAAAATTTAATTCGCCATCAACACCACCTTGTATAAATTCGCCTTGACATGTACAGTTTATATTTTTTTAACAATTTTCATCAAATCTTTACACAAATGACTTCTTACTGTTATTAGCTTGTAGTAGGGGTAGAGGCTAAGTAAATCAGAAAGACTTATGAAAATTCGAAGTTAGCACTAGCAATGCGCGGTAACACTAAGGCATAATGAAAAAAGGAATTTTGCCGAAAAATTTACGAGTGTAATTTTTTTAATTTGTTTCATAGTCTAGTACCTAATACCTATCCAAATTTATAAAGAGTTTTTTAAGGGGAAACCATCGCAAATCTGTGTAGTATGATTAATATAACTGGGTGAAAATTTCTCAACTGGACCGCGCATTTCAGTCAAGTTCGAATTTTCGCGTAAAAATTTGTGGGTAGAGAGGTTTATAGATGTGAAAGAGATTCTGAGGATTTTTTTTTAAATTTTAATTTTTAAAGTTTTTATAAGTACATAAATATATTTTTAAGCAATCTTTTTTTTTCAAAACTCATTTTCTCTTAAGTATATGACGAAAGTTGATGATTTTTTTTTTGTAAGCGGACATTAGAGCTTTAAACAAATATATTTTAATAATTTAGAAAAAAAAATTTAATTTAAGCATAATAAATATTAAAGTTGCATTAAAAATATGTTCTCAATGAGTGTTTTCCATTTCGAAAACTGCATTTATTTGTAAAAAAAATTGTTAGATCTTTTCTGTTTTTGCATTACAGCAACATTTGTCACAGCGCGGACGCATCGTGAACCATGCACGCTCACCGCCTATGCGCGCAACGCGTTCACTAGAAAGTGCGTACAGGAGCAACTAACAATTGGCTCATATTTCTGACTTTTAACGTAACCTCATATAATAATGATGACATTTATGGTATTTTTAAAGCATTTTGACGTAGAATACGTCTTACCTTACGATATGGAGGCTATGCAGAAATGTTGTAGTTGTAATTTTTAGAGCTTCACGAAAACGCTTATTGCACGAGAACTAATAAAGCGATTTCAAAGACAAAATTCCAAGCCTATCGACAGATTCATTTTTGTAAGTAACCGATTCGGTTTCTGTCATAAAAAGAACGGTAAACATTGGCTTATTTTGGGGTAAATTTTCAGCCTTTAAAGTGCTCTAGCAACTTATGGTTGGCAGATATAACTTTCATTTCCGGGATATAGATTCTTTGGTGCAGTAGAAATTTTATCGTGTACAGATTTTATATAAATTCAACAAATATTGAGCATTTTAAGGCAAATAATTGTTGAAAAAATGTGCAACTTTTTTTTATTACCAAAATGCTCGAAAACCGCTCGAATGATTTTGTTTTTGTTTTCTTTAATCAAAAACTTAAAGAGTTTTCCTTTCGTTTGGTATATGGGAAGTATTGGTTGATATCTTCTATATATGTTTATTTTATTCAAATATATGGTTTTCCATACAAAATAACTTCGTCATCATTTTGCCAACACGTGCATGCATTGGAAGTGTGGGAAGGAGACAAAAAGTATGTATGTGTGCCTAAGTACATATTTTGGTTTTTGATAAACATGTGGCACAATATTTATAACCTAATCGCAGCGTATGTACATACATACGTACATATGTTGATTGCAGTTAATGCGGATCTGTTTCTATTTTTTAGTAGTTTATGTATGTCTATACAATAAGAATAAAAGTAAAGGTGAGTACGTAAATAGATAAAGAAAAGGATAAAGGCAAAGGTTAAAATAAAAACAAAAACAAAGTTGCGTAAAGATAAAGGCAAAAATGAAGAGCAAGGTAAATTTAAACACTTTATATGAAGAATATGATAAACATAAAAATTAAAACAAACATAAATATAAAGAAAAAGGTGAGGATGAGGATACCGATAAACGTATTAAAGAAGATAGAGGAAGAAAGATTAAAATAAAGGTAGTTTTAGAGAAAAGGATATAGTTAGAGGCACAGAGACTCAATCTGGGAACTATTTCCGTATTTAGAGATTTTCGGGATCCTCGGGACTTATCGATATAATAATCGCTATTTTGTCGGTTTTGTGATCGACATGTTTATCGATTTTGTTATCAAAATTTGTATCGGTATTTTTATTGATTTTGCTATCGCTATTTTCGGAACTTAAATGATCGATATTTTTATCGATTTCGTTATCGATATTTTTATGTATTTTGTTATCGATTTTGCAATCGATTTTGTTATCGACTTTGTTATCAATTTTATTATCAATTATTTATCGAATTTGTTATCGATATTTTTATCGATATTTTTGTCAGTTTTGTTATCGATATTTTATCGATTTTGTAATCGATATTTTTATAGATTTTGTTGTCGATATTTTTATCGATTTTGTCATAGATATTTTGATCGGTTTGGTATCGATATTTTTATTGATTCTGTTAACGATTTTGCTATCGGTATTATTATAGGTTTTGTTATCGATATTTTCGGAATTTATCGATACAATGATCGATATTTTTATCGATTTTTTTTATTGATATTTTTTTATCGATTGTGTTATCGGTTATTTTATTGATTTTGTTATCGATTTTGATATCGATATCGTTATCGATATATTTGTAGACTTTGTTGTCGATATTTTTATCGATTTTGTCATCAATGTCTTTATCGGTTTTGTTGCCCATATTTTTTATCAATTTTGCTATCGATATTGTTATCGCCTTTGTTATCAATATTTTGATCGGTTTTATTATCGATTTTGCTATCGATATTGTCATCGCTTTTGCTATCGATATTTTTATCGATTTTTTAATAAATTTTTCGATAGATTTGGTAACCGATTTTGTAATCAATTTAGTTATCGATATTTATATCGATTTTGTTATCGATATTTTTATCGACTTTGTTATCCATTTTGCTATCGATATTATTACCGATTTTGATATCGATATTTTCATTCATATATTTATCGATTTTGATATCGATATTATTTTCGCTTTTGTTATCGATATGTTTTCTTAGTGTGTGCTTTCGTTTTTGACTATGACATGCTCTTAACCATACCACGTATTCTACGTTTAAATTTAGCGGCTGTATCTCCGATACAGCCTGCAGACCAAGACGAAGGCGCCGGACTGTTCCTTTTTAGGTTAAGTTTTGATAAATGCTGCCGCAAGTAGTAAACAGAAAAAAACTAAAAAAATTTTGTTTGAAAATATTTTTTTGAATAAATGCAGTTTTCGAAAATATAACGAAATGGAAAACACTCATTGAGAACATATTTTTAAAACTTAAAAAATCCGAGGTCCAGTTGGGAAATTTACACCCAGCTTCTGGATACGGTTGCCAGACGTACTGATTTGGGTAGGACAGTGCTGAATTTTTAGAAAAAATATCCCGCAACCCTACTTCTAAATCAAAGGAATCGTATAAATTTTGTGCACCATTTGTCATCCGGTTTTTTTTTATTTAGTATTGCGATATAAAATTCGGAATCAGCGATGTCTTTTAAGAAAATTTAAACCCTTTCCAAGTTTTAGGCCGCCATAATGGATGGAATTTTTTTTTTTAGCTAAATATCAATTTCTGAATCTTACCGAAAACTGACATTTTAAATATGCAATTTTTAAATACATATGTATATTTCACAACTAAAAACAAATTTTCATTTCAAAGCCATTATTTGTACGACCGTCGCACAATGGTTCCAAATTAGCATTTTGCATTCATAATTCACTGGAGCCTTCATTTTTCACAGGGTTAAAATATGTTTTTCGGATAAAAAAAACATGATAGTTCTGTTTTATATACACCTTTGTCTCATGCCGTTGATAACAAAAAATAACAATAAATATTATAAGTTTCAAATTTGTAAAACATATTATTAGAGCTTTATTAAAATAAAAATTATAAATAATACAGTCCACATCTTATAATTTTTTTTGTATATATATATCTACTTATAATCAATTTTTTTTTAATTCTCAGAACTTTTTAATTCTTTGTTAAACATGTTCAATAATTCGAACTTTTGTATCTTCCCAGATGTAGTTTTTGGATATTCGTCAACGAAACGCACATAACGAGGCACTTTGAAATGCGCTATTTTGCCCTTACAAAAGTTCTTAACTTCATCAACCGTAAGTTCTTTAGCGCCAGAGCGTAAACGTAAATAAGCACAAATTTCTTCGCCCATGCGCTTGTCCGGAATACCAATTACCTGAAAAAATGAACAAATCATTTATTTTCAATAGTAAATAAATAAAAGATAATATATACCTGCGCTTCTATAATATCCACGTGTGTATCCAGATAGTCTTCTATCTCTTTAGGAAATACATTTTCACCACCACGTATGATGACATCTTTCTTACGTCCAAGAATGCGTCCCACACCATTAGGTTCTAGTATAAAAGTGTCGCTGTGAAATTTGAAAAGAAGATAAAACGCCAAAAAATAAGACAGAATAGTTTGCAAACCCTCTTGCTCAACCCTCACCCAGTTTTGAGCCAGCCATGCTTATCCAACACTTCTTTGGTTTTCTCGACATCATCGTAATATTCAGTCATCACAAAGTATCCACGAACACACAATTCACCCACTTCCCCGAATCGTACAGTCTCTCCTTTATCGTCGATAACTTTAGCCTCCGCGTGTTGCAACAAACGGCCAACAGTTTGCGCTGCTTCCTCTTCGCTCTCTGTGCCATCCTGCATAAAGGAGGCCGCTGAGTTTTCTGACATTCCATAGCCGATGTAAAAGTTTTTTAGAGCAAACATTTTTTTCGTTTGAGTATAGATTTCTGGCGTGCACGCCGCCCCACCGACAATACCTGTCTCCAGTGTATGAATTGGCTTATTCAGCTCGCGTTGCTTCTCCAACAGATCGACATACATGGTGGGCGTGCCGAATATCATATTACAGCCTTCGGCAGCCACACTCTCAAGCGCCGCAACACTGTCGAACCGCGGACTGGGGAGCACCAATGTCGCGCCATGACTTAAGGCGGACATCACGACGCTCAAACCGAAGATGTGAAAGAAGGGCAATGTCAAACAAATAGTTTTATGCGACTTGTGTAACTCATAAAAGAAACCGAACTGATGGCCTTGATTTAAGTAGGAAAAGTGACTAAGTAACGCCACTTTGGGTACGCCAGTGGTACCTGAAGTGAATTGTATATTGCAGCCGCTTTCCGGCGCGATGAGCTCAACATTTTTATTCAGTGCGCTTATATCTTGTAAATCAGCTTTGCTGCGGCTCAACTCCTCCCAACTTAGGAACTCACTGAGCGGCGCGTCACTTTGCACAACTACGTGCCTTAAATAGGGAAATTTCGGATCGTCAATGGGACCGCGGCCATTTAAACTCGCGCTCGGCAGTAATTCTTTCAAAATTCCACAGAAGTCTTGCAGGCCACAGTTGGCCTTCGTAACGAGCGTTTTAACGCGCGCCTTCTTGAGTGCATATGCTATTTCTTGCGCCTGCAATGCTGGATTAATGCAAGCAACTGTATAACCAGCCAGTGCCGCTGCCAAGTAAGTGATGTACCACTGGGAATTATTTGTAATCCAAAGTCCCAAATGATCGCCGCGCTGCATGCCGAGTTCGTTGAGTTTCACTGCAAGATTTTCCGCTTCATTTTTAATTTCAGCGAAAGTGTAACGCTTGTTTTCGTGCCTCGAAATTAGCGCAGGCCGCTCGCCATACTTTGAAGCGGATATCTGTACCTGTTGTCCAAGCGTGCGATAGAGCAAAGGTTCGTTACCCACCTGGTGGAAATAAGCCCGGTCCGAATAGCTGAAAGTAAATAGTGCATTGCGCAGGTAAGTGAAATTTTTTATATAGTAGTAAATTTTCCACTAACCATCTTCGATTATTCAGTTGACATTGATAACTTGCCGATCTGACAGCATTTAATTGGGCATTTACTTGTTTGCAATGTCCTATAGCACGCAAAAGTGTCAAACGTATTTGCATGTTGAATATCAAGTAATTTATATATGTATTTACTCCTGCGCGATATACTACGATTGGACTTAGACCAGCTCTTTGTGATAGCGAACAACGAAAAGTCAAGCTTTTGAAAACGAGTGTTGACTTCTCCACGACCGCCTACAGACTAATTTCAACAGCTCAGCTGTATGGGCGCATAGCTTTTGTTAATGGTAGCACGATACCCATAAATATATATATATATTTAGAATGTATTCTGAATGAGAAAAATAGTAAACCTTAAATGCGCTCATTCTCGGTGTAAATACTCCAGAGTGTTGCGGTTTGCCGATAATAGCTGCTATGGCTAGAACCTGTGATGGAAAAGTAGGTACAATTGTACTTTTAAACTTGAAAGTATATTCGGTACAACCACAGCATTTTAGGTGCATTTGGAAAGTAGCCAAACCACATTTCGACGAATCTAGATTAAGAAAGGAAAAAAGGCAAAGGTAAAAATAAAAACAAACAAGTAAAGAAGTATATGTAAGTTCGGCCGAAACCGAACTTTATATACCCGGCGCACCTTTCAGCAAGAGTATTTTTCCCAATGTCAAACACTTTTGATAATATGCTATGATATATTGAAATAACTGTACCAAGTTTGATGGAAATCGATAAGTCGGTTATCGATATACACTTATATAGTCATCAGTGGGTGGTGCCACGCCCATTTTACAAAAATCAATGATCTTTTATCTTGTTAAAAGATTGTTGTAAGTTGGCGTCTTTAGTTAGTGAAATATCGGAGTTTTCGTATTTCTGAAATTCACCGGTAAGTGGCGGTAATTTTAGTCCGATTTCAAAAATTTTCAACATATCCCCGATATACCGACCGTTGACTGGAACGTATTGAGTGTGGTCAAGTCATTGTCAAATTAGTGTGGTCAACACTATATCTTCCAGATAAATAAGATGCCCGAAGACATCCTTTATGGTCGATTCGGCAAGACGGCTCGGGGCTTAGGTAGCGTATACTTTCTCGTAAAAAAGGGAAACCTTGCCGACAACAATATTAACACGCTAGAGTGGAGAAGAATCTCGGAATCGAAGAGATCCTAAAATCCTCCCTCAATATGCGCAATGTAGATACCGGTGAGCTGGTCACTGCATCTAAATTTTAGAAGGAGCCTAGGGGTAATACATAAGACCCTACAAATAAATCTCCACAAAAGTTAAATTTCCTCATCCGAGCTTCTCCTCAACTTAGAGTCACCTCGCTTGCTTCGGTTATACTAGTATGCAGACAGCTATAGTAGTAAAAGGGAAGTACCTAGACACTATCAGTATTGTAATTAATCGCGCCCTTCAAGCCGTTAATCAAGACTAGCCACCGACAGAAAGCTGCATATACATATATTGGGTGCCCGGCCACAAGGGATTAGAGGGTAATGAAATATCAGATGAGACTGCCAAACCTAACGAGCAGACGAAATTTACCGATTCGGGAATTTAGAGGACATCTCAAAAGTAGAGCACAAAATTCTACTGAAAGTCTCAAAAACCGTTGACATCCTTGTGATGTCTACTTCAACGCGTAAAACCGAGCTCCAACTGGTCATACTAAGGTCCTACCGGTCTTTGTGCAGCCAACGATGGCCAGATTAAGTTAAGCTAACCAAGTCTAACCATTCATGTCCTTGTTGATTAATGACGCAGAAGCATGGACAATGACAACATCCGACGTGTATTGGAGATAAAGATATTGCGGAATATTTACCGAACTTTGCGCATTGGCGACGACGAATACCGCAGACGATGGAACGATGAGCTGTATGAGCTTTGCGACGATATATGGATGTTGAAATGGCTCCGCAGTCTCGATCATATCGTATAAGTGGCCAGAAAACGGTCCAGCCCTCAATGCATTCACGTGGTACCCACTGGTGGTAGCAAAAGACGACGTCAGCTATCACTGAAGAGAAACTACTGGCCTGCCACATTAGGAAATGTATTCGACCAACATTTCCAGTGATCATATTTCCTTATGTTTACACCTGGTATTTATGACAGCAGTCAAATTTACATATACACATTGGACCTACATCTGCATGTATATTTATGCTTTTAGTATATGCGATAAAAAATGACAATTTGATATGAAAATGCTTAGTTCTATATAATATGTATTATAATTAATAAGCATCTGAGTATGTATGTATTTTTCTATGTGTTTATAGTTAACATACATTCATTATAAGCATATGTACATATATACATTAATACATGTTTGAACGTATGCACATACATATATGTATATAATTTCCCCGACGAAAAGCCGGCACCACACTTAATACATATGTATGTATTAGTGATCATTGGGTATAAAATTAACCACAAATCTCTTACTAAGAGTGAAAGTGTACTCTTAAAAAATGGCATTGTACTAGGTTGGTCGTTTTTTTAGCCATTTTATATGACTATATGTTAAATTAATTGGGGAAAAATTGTCATATGTATGAAAAAATAACATTTTTTCATTTCAAAACGTCTTGAACTTCACGTTGTCGAAAAAGGCGATTTGTGTTTTTCAGTGATCGATTGACGCACCACTTGCGCTAAGACAGTTGGTAATCTTTGGAAAAAGTGATTTTGATGAACTTCATATGGTCGACACGAAATGTTAAGATTAAGAAAATGTTGATCTTTGAGAGGGAACTCCTTTAAAGGTTTACTATTACTTGTCTGCTTGGAGTGGTAGGCAAATGTTTTGATTTGATATGATACCCTCGATCAATGAGTTTTTCGAGCATTTTCAAACATAAACCTTATTATACTCAAATTGAGTGGGCTATAAAATTGCACACGTAGAATTTTTCTAAAAAATTTGATTAGAAAGTTCCAAATTAGTACGCAAATTTATTGAATTTTCCTGAGTCTTGCACAAAGTTCTAAAATCTAAAAATAGTATGAAGTATATTTTTATTAAAAATAAGCGAAAAGGAAAACTTTGCATGTATTGCGAAAAATTCTCTGTGCCAATACTTTTGTCCGGCACTGTATATATTTTAGTTTTAAGTGTTTTCAGCAAATTTGTTCAGCAACTGTGTATGTACTAAATACATGGTACTTACTATTTTGATACAGATGTAAGTATGTATGCGTAAGTCTATAAATTACAAACATAGTGCTCTCCGCGTCCCTAATTGTATGAAAAAAATCAGTTGTGTTCCAACCATTGACGTAGCATGAATATGATCGATAGTGCTAGAAAATTAAAAAAAGCGCTACTGGTAAAACAATCGACAGTGAGTGTACATTTGTAATCAACATAACAAAGCTGGTAGCGATTCATATCAAATACGAGAACAAATCCAGGTGATTATTATTTCATAAAGTTTTTTTTCTGCATATCATTTGAAGAGCGGTTTATTTTTTCATTAGTGATCGCAATCAATTTCTCTTTGCCGCTTCTTCAGATCAACTCAAGCATCATTAATCTCCTCAACGTGTACGAGTATTGTGCAAAGAATAATGATCAAACAACTACAACCGGCTTCTCTGCAATTTTACAAAAATGTACTCAGAGCGAATAGTCAACCACATACTACTCATTATTTGGGGCGTTGGTGAGTATAAATATGTAGCCATAAACACAAGTCACTCTGTTTACGTCTTTTTTTATGTTTAATTCTGTATTACTGATATGAATTTTTAATAGAGGCGAGCACGCTAGAAGAATTGCGATAACTACTGCTAAGAATTGCTACCTAACTAGAATTACCTATTTCAATTCAAAATAAACCAGTTGAAATACATACATTATCCAACTCATATAAATCAGCGTTTCTCAAACTATTATAGGTGTCATTTTTGACACGCGGTGGAGTAAAACTGATTTGACACTGTAATATTGATTGATATTATTGATAAATATTTATTAGTTTTTGTGATGTATAGGCAACCAAACAAATAATATTTTGAACACGTATTATTATAAGCACAAATTATTTTCATCCATGGAAAAGTAAAATATTATTTTTTTTATACAAATTTATTCTATTTATTTCTTCATGTTGAATTTAATTTGTTCCTCTTTTGTTAATTTAATTTTTCTTTCATTTTTATATTTCATTGTTTCAAAAAGAATAATATATTTGTTTTATTGAGGTACCGCAAATAACTGTTATAGATTCAATATTGTATCTAAAAAATCATTGTTAAGGAAGCGTTCAGATAGGGATGTTCCGATACAAGTAAATACGTGTATGTACTCGATACTTTTGTTTCAATATCAACTACTTTTTTTACTCGAATCGTACCTACTTGGTATCGAAAGAAAAGTACTTGTATCGGATCGATTTGAGCGAGTGCCATATCTTGTCGGCCATATTTTTTCTATGGAAGAACCTTGGCGTCGTTTTTATGAAAAATAATTGCTTTAAGCAATGGCACCGCGAAAATCTAAAGTATGGATATATTTTTACTAAGTTAGTAATACCACAGCAAAGTGCAAGCAATGCTTGGAAGCCGTAAAGTTTTGTGGGAACCTTTCAACGGTTGAATTTTTAGTCAAGTAATCGTATTACTTCCAGCGTTACTAATGAACAAATATACATATCGACACCTGAGTGGAAGACCGGCAGCCAGTTCGAAAGCGCCCTATCTCAGAAAACATTTCATGTACGCCCTATTTCAGTTCAGTCAGTCCTATTTGGTTCAAAAACGCCCGACCTTAATTAAAAATATTTGAGATTGGACGTTTTTGAACCGAATTCTGAATTAAAATGTTCTTAAAAAGTTTTCTGAGATAGGGCGTTTTCGAACTGACTGCCGTGATAGGTCGTTCTTCCACTCAGGTGTCGCAAAAGGTAAGTCACAGATAACCCCTGAAAAATACTTTCGCTTTGTTATATATAAACCTCCTTTAATAATTTTTATTTTACGTTCAAAAAATAATTGTTATTTGTTGAGTTTTAATTTTTCAAAAAAATAAAAGTTATTTTTTGATTTTTATTATTTTTTCACAAAGTAAAACTGAAGTGCTCCAAACAAGCAAGTAAAGATTCAGCACTTAAGTTTTATTTTGTAATTGAAAAATAAAACTCACCAAATAACTTTTAATTTGTGAACGAAAAATAAAACTTATCAGATAACTACATATTTTGTAAAAGAGAAATACAAATCACAATCAAGTAGTATTTGTAGAACGCAAAATTAAAACTGAAACATAATAATTAAAACAATTTTTTTGCTGTATAGCTTATAACTGTTACGTTACCTGGTTTTATTTCATTTAATCTTTAATATCTTATTTATTTTTATTTATTTAATTTTTAGCCTTTTTAATTCAAGTTTTCTTTTAATTCTTGGATTTTGTTTAAAAATAAAAATAACTTTTTTTACATTTAATTAATTTTTAAGTACTATCTTATTCTCTTTTGGTAAACTTTTTTCTTTTTACAATCTAATTTTTTGAATTTGTTGCAAAAAAAAAGTTTTTTTTTTTAATTTTACTTTTTATTTTTTTGCTTTATTTTCATTTAATTTTTTATTGTTATTTGCTTTTATTATTAAAATTTACGTTTTGTCCCCGCAACAAGAATAAAATCCCTTCCCTAAAAATTCAGCGCGGGCACGCTAGCTAAACGTTAGTCCAATATCCTACAGTGAATACAATTGGAAAATTGTATTCTGGGGACCAAATGCGCTTACAAAAATATTTGGAACGATTTTTCCCAAAAACAAATTCTGAGGTTTTTCTCCGTGAAAGATGCTTCCTAGCAAAGGGAGCCGTCCTAATCTTCCAGATTTATCAACCTTCTCGTTTATGTTACGAAAATATTATTATTATAGTTTAAACAGCCCCTAACGAAGATTGTCCATTAAATTTAAAGTTACAATATTAACTTTTCAGCTTATCCACACAACCCGCAGAGTTTATAAAATCGCACAACTTTCATCCCGCGCACCTGCACCACATCGGCAAGACCCCACTGATCTATCGGAGTGTTGGTCAGGAGCTGGAACGCGCCGCAGCTGAATATGGCAGCACGGAATCTATTGTTTCATTTCACGAACAGAAGCGTTACACATTTCAGGGACTCATCGAAGAGGCCGATCGTGTTGCTGCCGGCTTGCTGAAGCTTGGCTTAAAACAAGGCGATCATGTGGGTATTTGGGCGCCCAACAATATGCACTGGTATCTGACACTGATGGGCGCAGCACGCGCCGGTTTGGTGTCGGTAAGTTGAAATATTGCAACAATTATTTTCAAATGACTTCAACTTTTTAGATCGTTTGTAGGTTGGCATAAATCCAGCATTTCAAGGACCCGAAGTGGATTATTGCCTGAAGAAGGTTAAGGTGAAAGCTCTGATAATGCCTGAAACATTTAAAAAACAAAATTTCTATGAGATTATAAAAAGTATTTGTCCAGAGTTGCCAGACCGCGTTGATGGAAGCATCAACAGCACCAGCTTGCCTCACCTGAAACATGTCATCATCGACACAGACAGCAAATTGAAAGGCGCGCTGAGTTTTGACCAATTACTCGGCCTGAGCAACCCAGTCGAGCGTGAGGCTATCTCAAAGCTACAGCACCGCATAGTACCAGATAGCGGCTGTAATGTGCAATTTACCTCTGGCACCACAGGTCGACCGAAAGCGGCTGTGCTGTCCCACTATAATTTTGTAAATAATGGCACGCATATCGGTAATCGTAATTTGTTGGACAGCAATTCACGTATCTGCGTACAAGTACCCCTCTTTCACGTATATGGCGTTGTTGTCACTGTTATGGCTGCAATGACACATGGCAGCACATTGGTTCTGCCAGCAGCCGGTTTCAGTCCCGCCGACACGTTACGCGCCATTGTTGACGAAAAATGCACTGTCGTCCATGGCACACCCACAATGTATGTGGATCTCATCAAGAAGCAGAGAGAGTTAAAGTTGCCATTGAAGACCGCACAGATGGCTGTTACCGGCGGAGCGCCATGTTCACCACAACTCTTTCTGGACATTAAGAATGTTCTTGGTTTGGAGCGTATCCACACCGTTTATGGTTTAACAGAAACAACAGCAGTCGTCTTTCAGACGAAACCAGGTGATAGTATGGAACGAATCTTGAATACTGTTGGTCATTTACAAGATCATGTGGAAGTGAAAGTAGTTGACGGCGAGGGGCATACGGTACAGTTCGGTGAACCAGGTGAGCTGTATGTGCGTGGCTATGCTACTATGTTGGAATACTATGACGATGAAGTGAAGACAAAAGAAACTATCGGCAATGATAAATGGCTGAAAACAGGGTAGGTGTTAAAACGTCATACCATCGTCTACTTTGGTTTATATATTGACTCTGCCGGCAAATAGGGGCATTGAATTGACCCTTTTAGGCCTCTTTTGTATGGAGTAGGTTAATTACCCGACAACAAATCTTACACCAGGTGCGTTTACAGCAAACTTTTTTTGTATTTTTTAGTTGATCCCCGTTGCAAAGGAAATCTTTTTATCTACCGCCGGCTCTCAGTGCTAGTTTAAGGTCTTATATTTAAACTAGCTTCTTAAGCGAAAATCTCATTAAGACAGCCTAGTCTGAAAACGTTTGTTTAGAAGCCAACATCCTAGTCGGTTATTCTAAAGTTTTAAAATTTCTTCAAGCACGACTCCTGGGAGTTACTCGCAGCCCTAAGCGCTCCTAGCTGCGGCACTATTCTCGTATATTTTCGTAAGTGAGATGTCTTATTCCTTTTCCAGGAAAAAATCGAAAATAACCAAAAGAAGTGCACTTCTTTTGACAGTATAACATTTGCGGCATGAGTGATGGAGTTCGAAAATTGTCCATTTTATATCGCTACGTGAACGTGATTAGTTCAGTTAGGAGGGATTTGTATTCACTGACTGTCTTGATGAACTTAAGTGATAGATGCTTAAGAGCTCCAACCTTTCCAAGAAGTTGGAAGGAGCCGATTTCTTAAAAAGGCATCTTCTCAATTGGGTGGCTTGGGATACGATGCTTCGTTGGATCTTTCTATCTCATGCTGCAACCTCCAGCATTCTTGGTATACTTCGCCTCGTTAAAAGCTTTTATAGCTACTGTTCTAAGTAGTCTTAGCGATATGTGAGACGTGCCAGACTTCAACCCTAAGTGCCCTTTCACACGTTCCGGTTAACCAGCAACCGGTTTTCAAGTTAAACGTTACCACTGTCATATCCGCATTGCTAAATTTGGGGGTAAAGACAAATTGTGAAACTAAAATTTCACGTTTGACTGACTCACGTGTCTACAAAAAGGTCGTTAAATTGAAAGACTTACTTAACATTTTATAGCAAATTATAACTTTTTGCTTAAGCATTTAAATATTTTGCGTTACCAATATAAATTTCAAATATGAGACAAATTAGAATGTTTCTAATAATGACTCAACCCCAGGCACAACTTGTGATGAGATTTTTACGAACCTTGTGTTGTTATTCACGAACCCGCCAAAAAAAAGGATTAACCAGATCGGTCAAGTCGATCGCAAGTGATGATGTTACATCTGTACAAACATGTATCATAAGAAATTTTGGCTCCAAAAATTTTATTAGCACATTGCACATTGAATGGGTAGCAGCAGCAGGGTTGCAATTTGGTTGTTTTTCATTCGAAGTGGTCCATGAATTGCCATTTTTGTTTACTCAGAAATGTCACATTTCGTAAATTTTTTTTTTGTATTTTAGAGTACAAAATCTACAACAAAATACACGCAGCTCTAATGCTAACTGATTAATGTGTCTTGGAACATGCTGTCTCTTTTTGTTTTCACCACGTATTTGTGGTGAACTTTTTTTGACTTTCTCTTACTGAATACCCAAATCGTCTCAAGTCACAAAAAGAGTTATTAATTTTTAGTCTCAAATTTAGTGACTTGAGATTAGACTGACTTACTGAATACCAGCATATAATGGTTTAGAAACGGTACCTGAGAATCTACCTGATGCCGATTGATAGGCGTAGAGGCATTTAAGTCAGCTGGTAAATGATATTTTCCAGTATTTACTTTCATAATGCAAAATTATGGCAATAAAAGCTGTAGTCTTCCATTGCATTGATCTTTCACGCATCCAAAGATATCTTTCATTGAAAAATTTTTGCTATAAGATTCGAACTAATTACATTTCTTTCATTTAGCGATCAATTCATCTTGGAATCCGATGGTTATGGGCGCATTGTGGGACGTCTGAAGGAGATGATCATACGTGGAGGAGAGAATATTTTCCCCAAAGAAATTGAAGATTTTCTTAACTCTCATCCAAAAATCATTGAAACGCACGTGTGTACATATTTATTTTCAACCATCAATACTATATTTTTTCTAATACCTCAAACACCTTTTCTCTCACCGGCGCGCAGGTGATTGGTGTGCCTGATGAACGTTTGGGCGAGGAGTGTTGTGCCTTTGTGCGTTTACAAGATGGCGTGAAGAGTATTGCGCGCGAAGAAGTGAAGGAATTTGCACAAGGAAAGTTGGCGCATTTTAAAATACCGCGATATGTGATACCCATAAATGCATTTCCTAGAACTACTTCGGGGAAAATACAAAAGTTCAAGCTGGCCGAGGAATATAACAAAATGCAAAGACAATAGCTGGTAGATTTATAGCTGGAGATGATAAAGTTAGTTGGTATTTGTTGTGCAGCATTTTATGTACTCCTACATAATAAATCAAAAATAAAGTATTTCAATGAAATTCGCGATAGGCTTCAAGCTTTCCTCAATTTGTTGCTGGGCTGATGTACGACTTTCACTCTTACTATTTGTAATCAGCACATTTATACGCAGTCGGCTCACTGATATGCAATCAGCTGCCTGATACGAGTAGATGACTGGCTAGAACAAAGATAAAACAACTCAGTGAGTACAACCTACATACACTAAAATATGAGATCGTAAATATCAACAACGTCGGCGGCTCTTATTAATAAGAAACGCAGCTTGAGTGAACGCTAATTTCTTGTACACTAATACAAAAATAAATCTCATGTGCCAGGCTTTAGGCTACTGTATGTGGGCACGGCTTAATCAGTTGTTCTCGAGGCGTCTTTTAGTACAATCGCTTTCAGCGTAAAATAGCATTCGAACCGGTAATTTAAAGCGCAAATGAAAGTAAGGGTGTATTCCAAAACTTCAAAATACAAAGCATAGTAGATTGTAATGTCAAATCTGCGCAATCAAATCTTCTAGTGTGTTTTAGAAATAAGAGAGACTGGTGCTTGGTATTTTGACGTTTTGGAATGCACCCTAACTTTGTCGCTTAGCGTGGGGTGCGAAGTGGAACGCGTGGCAAATGGCAATGAATTAAGGCTTATCATTGTTATCGAATTAAACTAATTTTGTGTATGCAATTTTTAAAGAGATTAACTACGTAAACGTGGCGTAACTGTTTGGTGCATTATTATAGCTTTGCGTTTTATTTAATTCATTCGCGTTTTTACCTGTATAAAGTGGTCTGAAGGCGACATGCTTAAGAGGCAATTGCAAAGTATTTATCGAAATCTCAACAAACGAGTTCTTGCAACCAATGGGCATCATTCAGTATTTCTATTACGTTGGTGAGTATTTAATTTCAGTGTAGATTTTTTTGTTTTTTTGTTTTATAAACGTAGTCAAGAAATGAATAAGTGTATGAAGAAGTAATTCTTTGTTCGCTTATAATATGTATAGGGTGTGACCACTAAATCACTTATATCGGCACCCAGTTCGAAAAATCTCAGAAAACGTTTCAAGAACGCCTAGTTCAGAATTTAATTGAAAAACACCCTATCTCAGAATTTGGTTGAAGAACGCCCTATCTCAGATTCCGGTTCAAAAACGCCATATCTCAGCACATTTTCAATGTATTTCAGCGTTCATCAACCAAATTCTGAGGTAGGTCGTTCTTCAATCAAATTCTGAAGAAGGGCGTTTTTGAACTGGGTAGGGATGAAACAATAAGAGTAAATACAAGTACATACTCGATACTTTTCGTTCGATACTAAGTAATTTTGGCATCGATACTTTTGAACCAAGTTCTGAGTAGGTATCGAAAAAAAATACTCGTATCGAAACCCGATACCAAGGCGATTTCCTTCCGGAAATTTTTAATCCACTAATATAAATCGTCCAGTGCTTTATTGAAGACGTAAACTTTTTCCTGAAACCGGTATGAAATGAACTTTTTTAACAGATATTTTTGTTGTTCTTGCATCAGGGAACTCATTTTGGTGATGCCAAAATACCAAAAAATCGATTCAAAATATTTTTTTTGAAAGTTCATTGCTTGCTGTTATTAAGTCAAAAGAATAAAAATAAATACAGAGTAACTCTATTATTCTTCGCGCTGAAAACATTATCGGACAATATTGAAGGTGATGGAGACTAGCTCTATTATTTAAAAAAAGCAAAGGAGAAAATAATAGGCTGAAAAGCGTGGATGACAAAGAAAAAACTAAAATGTTCAACGTAGCCCAGCCCAGACATTTCGTGTCGAAATTTAAGCTTTCTTTCCGTTAATTTGTACTATAAGAGATATACACCTGGTACCTTGTCAACTCATAAACTCTTATTATTCGGAGTTTAGAATTCGCAGAGGATGATTAATTCATTACTTATAAAAAATAAATTTAGTCCAGCACATACGGAATACCTTTATAGTCAAAAGTACCGATACGAGTAGGTATCGATACTTTAGATTCGATATTTTTCGCGTATTGATATGATTAATACGATACTACTTTCAAGTAAAGGTATCGATACCTGCATGGTATCGTTTCATCCCTAGAACTGGCTGCCGAGATATGTAAGTCGATCTTCCACTCAGGTATCGATATATGGATCGGTTTAGCTGGAAGAAAATCATAATTCAAAAGAAGTTTTCATTTTGGAAAAATCTTTCTGTACAGTTGGTTATGTATGTAGTCCAAAAAGTTTAAAATTAAGCCCAAAATTTGTATCCGTGTGGTTTAGCAACTATCTGGAAGTATTTTACAAAAAACAAGTAAAAAAGTCTAGTTCGTTTTGCTTTTATGTGGCAGGCAAAATAACCATACAGAGTTTGGTACAAATTCGTACAACGGTTACTGAGATACATATATGTGATCATAAGTGGGCGGTGCCACGCCCATTTTCCAAAATGTTACCATAAACGTATTTCTTGGTAAAGAGTTGTTGCAAGCAACAATTTTGAATAAATTCGTTTTAATATTTACTGATTTATCGAATATTTCGTATTTCTCTAAATTACCGTTATATGGGATGTGGGCGTGGTTATTGCCCGATGTTAAAAATTTTCGGCCATTTCACGAGCGCGGCCTCGTGCATTTTCCAAAAATTTATAATATTCTTAATTTTCGTCTAAAAATTATTGTAAATATCAATTTTGAGTGAATAATCTGCAGTAGTTACTAAAATTGCCGTTATATGGGAGGTAGGCGTGGTTATTGTTCGATTTTGCCCATTTTTAATACCATATGTCGTACGCTAGAAAGAAGTGCACGTACCAAGTTTCGTTAAGATTTCTTAATTTTGGCTCGAGTTATCATGTGCACAGACGGACGGACGGACAGACAGTCACCGCTTAATCGATTTCTCTTTTCATTCTGATCATTTATGTATACATTTGTCTATATCTATCTCGATTCGTTTTGCCTGTTACAAACAACCGTTATGTGAACAAAGTTATAATACCCTTGTGCACAAGTGCGCTCGGGTATAAACATTACTAGGTATAGCCTTGTTTGGATATGCAGTTAAAGTAAATACATACATGAAAAGGCCCGATTTTTTGTTTTGAATAAAAAAAATATCAATATTTTATAATCGGTGACACTTTTACCTGAAAAATGTTTGCTTATCAGGGAGCTCAACCTCCGCCCAACCTCCCCCTTCCCAAACTTCTCCATAAGTTAGTCGGGCACCCTGTATACAAGAATTACTCGTTTAAAGTGATAAGACTTTTATATTCTTAACTTTAATATCATATCATACATTCATACATACATACATACATACATACATGAAACGCAGGTACATATCTGGTTAAATTAAACAAAATTTGTATTCTTGCTATACAACAACATGATATGGCATTTCTTTATTCAGATTGAAGCCAAAATATGGACGATAAAATTAATGAAACAACTTTAGAATGTACATATCGCCACCTAAAATGCAAAAAGACCTAACAACATCGTAAATGAAATGGAAAAAGTCGTGACTAATTAAATTTAATTTTTTTCATAAAATGATGTGGGGAGATGGAATTCGATGAAAACCATCACATAAATCCAAAAGTGAATTTTGAATTTTTTATTAGTTATGACGTTTTCTATTTCAACGATGATGTTTGTTACGTCTTTTTACATTTCAGGTGGCGATATATATGTATGTATTTTCGTAGATTTGTATAGAAAAAATTTATTTTTTTTTTGTCAAATAATCTACATATATCTACATATCGCTCATTTACTTTAATAGTGCCACAACTCAAAAAAGCAAAACTCGACAAAAACGGCTTCAAAGTTTTTAACTTACAGGTAATCGATACACATAGAAAAAAGAGGTAGCTTGAATTCCTGCATGCTCTACTAAATTTTGGTTATTTTTTGGATTATGGCACTACTGAAGTAAATGCGATCTATCTATAGATATGATAAAATTGTTTTAGGCCGATGTTTGTACATTATGGATATTAAGGAAAAATTAATATGGGGGATCTTTATTAGTGTAACAGAAGCCAAGTCAACAATTTTAAGAATTTTTGTCTGTCTGTATGTATGTTTGTACCAGTATCACTCGAAAACAAATACATGGAATTGAATGCAGTTTCCACCGATGTATTGCTAGAGGTCTAACTTAAAGTATATTAAGAAAAAAATTAGATAGTTGCCACCTGTTTGGAAATTGCAGTTTAAGTAAATTGATAAGATAAATTAAATATTGCAATATGGCTGTCAAAAGAAAAACTTTTAAAAAGGCTTATAGTCGAAAATATTTTTGTTGAAGGTTGATACCTGTTTGAAAATTTTAGTTTAATTTTATTGAAACGATAAATTGAATATTGCAATATGGGTGTCAAACTGAAGAAGCGTATGCTAGATTTTCTTCCACTAGACATTAAATGGCAAACATTTTAATGACAAAGTTGTCATTTAATTCATTTCCACATGACATTTTTAAATCCCTCAGATTTTTTGTTATTTTCAATGCCTTGTTGAATCTCGTCATGCCGAAAACATTTTTGAAGAGGGCTACCAACTATTTGAAATTTTGATTCAATTAAATTGATAAATTAAATTAAATATTAGAATACGGGTGTCAAACAGCACAAAAATTATTTTTAAGGCGCAGTGAAGCACGCCGGGCATTTGGTAGTACACGTATAAAAATGGATGTATATGGTGGCGTTCAAAAAAAATAGCATCGAAATTCAAAATGATGCTGTTGGCAACTTATCTTTATTTATTTATTGTTAATAATTTTCATTTAAAATATGGGTCGCTCTATATCAGACACCACATACATAAATAAAAGTTTCAAAGCTTATACAAATTTCAAAAAAACTAATCAAACTTAAAAAAGTTGTCTTCAAAAATTCAAAATTAATCACAATCTTTGGAAATTTTTCGGGTACGCAGTTTTGTAGCCCATTAAATTTTAGTATAATAAAGTGTAAGTTTCAAGTCGCTAAAAATTACCGTTGATTTTTTTTCGTTTTTTTTTTGTGGAGAGTGTTGCGCATTTGCTTCCATATAAAAGTAAGTTTTGTTCATGGGTTATTATCCGGTTATAAGAGTACACAGAATGCGAAAAGAGTTAAAAAAATTTACAGGAACTTTATTTACAGGTTACAAAATTTTTATTACCAGCGCAGAATAGACCCGTAAATCCAAGTTATAACTGCCAACAATGACGTGTGTCACGAAAACTCGACGACTTTTATGTGTTGCCAGGAGGTACTCTGTCTTGCCTTCGCTCACCGCTAGAACAACCTGTTTCGCTCATTTTGCTAAACCAGAAAATGCTGTGCCCTAGTGTGGTGTCCCTAGTCGTAAGACCGATAATGGCAATATTATTCGCATATGCCAACGGCGCCGCGCTTTCGCTGTATATGGTGCCACTGCGATTCAGATTGGGAGCTCTTATGACGCTTTGCAGCATCTGATTGATAAAGTCACATGTGAGTGAATCGGTTTGTCTAAAACCTCATTTGGTCTAAAACGGATCGGAGAGTCCTTCCCAATTTGAGCGGAGCTGAAGACTGTGCTCAACGGCACTCTTCCTTGCCGTTTTAGTTTCGCGGGGATCCCAAATTTGGACATGGCAGCTTCTCTTCGTGTCATCAATACTGGTGTGTGCCGATCTTTTTATATAGAGTTTTCTTCCATGGTAGATTTTCTAGGCCTGAAGCCAGTCTGATATATTCTTATGAGTTGGTTCATGAAGGGCTTCAGTCGTTCCCATAATATCGCCGATCGGGCCTTATAAATGCATATGCAATGCTAAGAGGCAAATTCCGCGATAATTGGCTCAAACAGCGGGATATACCTAGTGATGTTCCGATACTTAGAAGTAT